AACTCAAAAAGTACTTAATGAAAAAATACTTTATTATAGTGTTTTAAAAAGCTCTCGAGATAAGCTACAAGAATATGCAATAAAAAATGGGGGGTTTCATTTAAAAAAACATCGATCACATTGACCTCACCTTGAAAAGGTCACTCAAGGTCAAGTCCATATTTTTATCATGTGGCCCTCTCGAAACCATACAACTTTTGTCTGAAATATTTTTTTCTATCTTGCTTTATTTTTTAGATATTTAGGTGTCTCAATATAAATGCCACACCTTGTATATATGTATATATGTATATAATATTCTCAATGTGCAAAAACAATCTATAAAAACAATGCTTAATCTAAGCTTTTATAAATCATCACATATTCAATGAGTTTTATTGAATTATTATTTTTAGATTCTATAAAAGTCATGGCAGGAATGGCGGATGTGGTTGTACTCAGACATTCGGAGCCGGGTGCGGTAGCTGTGAGTATTCAAATTACACATAAATAGGTGTGTGTGTGTGTATGTGTGTGGGTGTGTATAAAAGTTGCGCAACACAGCTCTTCAAATTATAATATATTATAATTATAATTAACAAAATTACTGTCTCTCTCTCAATGATCTTATTTCTAAAATTTTTAATGTTTAATTTTACTTATTTTTCTTAATACAGTTAAACAATCTCTGGGATAATAATTATTATAGATTTTTGTATTTCTTGATATTTTTTTCTTATACAGGGTGATTCTAAATAAGTGCGAAAAAATTTACAAGATGATTTTTTACCAAAAATTAACCAGCTATTAAGGGAGGTCTTTCATATAAACATATAGGGGAAAGTAAGGTAAAACCGGGTATCTTTTTGGATTTGTCTTTCTACAAAAAATCTGAAAATAAAAAAAATTTTGCCGACTGTTAGTAGTCTTTAGTGAACCTTAAACTATAAGAAAATAAGGCTAGTTGCTAAAAAAAAAAATGTTTCGTTACCAAGAATAACAAGATTGTGTGGAGAAGTCAAAGTACCCGGTTTTGTCCTTCCGGTAGGGTCAAACCGGGTATCCATTTGAAAATATGCAAAACACCGTGTAATTACAAAATCTAGATTTATTTTAATCAAAATACAATATAAAGATGTATTCTATTGACAAGAATCACATAAAGATATTCTCTTGTTCGACATCGCTGCAGGACTTCCTTATTTAACTTTTTAACTTTAGGGATCTCAATAATAAATACGGTGGTTGTATTATACAAAGTGCAAAGTGCCGATCAAAACTAATATGATATACTCTCTAATATGTACAGAATGCAATGCTGCACTTACCGAAACAGATGCTCTATATAGAAAAAGTGCACGACGACTCGATTCTTGCCTCGATATCGATCTTTTGTGGGCTAAAAACTTTGAATTTCTATTAAAAAAGAAATATCGTGTGCACAGGGGCACGGTTTGTTTTAAAATAATGATGGCGCCAATCTACAACTAATAACACAAGTTAGCCATAGATAGCAGCATTTATTACGAAAAAACAGGGGTACCCAGTTTGACCCGGTTTACCCGGTTTTACCCAACTTTCCCCTACTCTTATATCCCTTCCTGAGGAGTTACTCTCCTTCAAAGCAGAAGGTGAAAATTTGGTTTTTATTTCTTTTTCTCAAATTTTGAACAAGTTAAAAAAATGAAATTTGATGAACATTTTTTACTAGTATTGCATCATGTCAATCAAAAATATGTTTGGGATATTTAAATGCCTGGGATGTTAGCCATTTAGCACTGTGTAGTGCATAATGTATTTATTTTTTCTTGAAAACTATTGATTTCACGAAAAAAATAAAAGAAATAAAAAAGTTTCTAAAGGAATTAAGCTTTCTAACGTATATTTTTAAATGATTACAATCCGACCTGTTAAAAAGTTTTAATTAAAAATTGAGTAGGGGTTGCTAGTTTTATCCTTTTATAACGATACGGGAAAATTTAAAAAATATTAATAAATATCCTTTTCACTAGTGGAAAATGTCCATCAAATTTCATTTACTTGACCAACATCTGAGAAAAAAAAATTAAAAACTTAATTTTTACCTCCTTTGGAAGAATGTAACTCCTCAGGGAAAAATTATATGTTTATATGAAACACCTTTCTTAATTTTCGATAAAAAATTATCTGTTAAAATGTTATCGCATTTATTAGAATCACCCTATATATGTATGTATAAATCATAATTTAGTAGTACAAAATATCTTCATACATATATATACAGGGTGCGGCATTTATATTGACGCGGGCATATTTTTCGGAAACGAAGTGAGATATCAAAAAATGTTTCAAACAAAAGTTGCATGGTTTTGAGGGGGTCACATGATAAAAATATGGATTTGACCTTAAGTGGTCTTTTCAAAGTGAGGTCAATGTGGTCGATGTTTTCTTAAATGGAACTCCCCATTTTTTATTACATATTCTTATAGCTTATCCCGAGAGCTTTCCAAAACACTATAACAAAGTATTTTTTTATTAAGTACTTTTTGAGTTATTTTATATTTTAATCTGACACATATTTTGATATAAAAAATAAAACATCTCGTAAAATATTTAGTTTTCGATAATCTTACCGTAATACTTTTATGTACAGAATAATGAGACAAATCAATTAGTGTAAAGAAAAAAACAAATAATTGTTTTAAAAAATACATTGTAAATAATTACATACTTTTTCTTAAAAACAATTATTTTTTTTTTACTAATTGATTTGTCTCATTATTCTGTACATAAAAGTATTACGGTAAGATTATCGAAAACTAAATATTTTACAAGATATTTTATTTTTTATATCAAAATAAGTCAGATTAAAATATAAAATAACTCAAAAAGTACTTAATGAAAAAATACTTTATTATAGTGTTTTGGAAAGCTCTCGGGATAAGCTATAAGAATATGTAATAAAAAAATGGGGAGTTCCATTTAAGAAAACATCGACCACATTGACCTCACCTTGAAAAGACCACTTAAGGTCAAATCCATATTTTTATCATGTGTCCCCCTCGAAACCATGCAACTTTTGTCTGAAACATGTTTTGATATCTCACTTCGTTTCCGAAAATTATGCCCGCGTCACTATAAATGCCGCACCCTGTATATATATATTCACTTTTCCGATATTTTGCCATATATTAATAATAATTTACAGAGAGCAGCGCCGTATTGTAAAAAACCATTGTTAAACGCCGGTGATGGAATTGGCGAACATCCAACACAAGCGTTGCTCGATATTTATACAATTAGAGACGTATTAGGAACCGTAAATAACCTTATAATTACGATGGTAGGAGATTTGAAACACGGCAGGACTGTCCATTCCCTTGCAAGGTTGGTGCAATCAAAACATTTTGTTCGATTTCCAATTGTCCAAGTAGTTAATAAGAAATTATGAGAAATGAAATTATTATGCATTATTATATTGAATTAATCAAATATTTTTTAGCTATAGCCATAAATATTTTTTATACTGTAAGAATATACGGTGCATTTTAATATTATAAACAATATTACACAAACACGCACATACGTTTCTTGATTTTAAATTTAAATTAAATTTAAATTAGTCTTATAAAAAATACATTTGATTACGTTAATCCTGAATGTGTTTGCAAAATATCCTCATTATCAATATATATTGATAAAATATTCACAATAGTACATGAAAATAAATTTGTGGAATGATAAATTTTTGGATATTTTCGCTAAAGAAAAATCAATTTTAAATTTGTTAGAAAATCTCATGAAAATTAAGACTGTGTTATAAAATAATGTAAAAATAAAACTACTACATCCAATTAAATTCAAGGATGATGAATATTTACAATTAATAATGAAAATCTTTAGAATATTAAATACGTTTCTAATAACAAAATTTAAATTCAAAATATAAATTTTGTCAAATATATTGTAGAGAAATACAATATCTTAATAAAAGAATATAATATATATGATTCTAACTAACGGGATTATGAAAAAAAAAAAAATATTAAATTTATTCACGAACATAAATTCTAAAATTATGTAATTTTGATTCTTATGTGCGCCAATTATTTCTTGTGCCTATAGTCATTTATCGGACTAAAAATATTTTCCTTTGACACACATCATTTATTAAATCCTAACGTTGATACAGGTTGCTGACTCTGTATAAGGTGAAGGAGTTTCGCTTTGTGAGTCCACCTGGCCTAGGCATGCCAGATCATATTATTAATTACGTGAAAAAACGAATTCCCCACAAAATTTTTTCAACCTTAGAGGATGCTCTGCCCGATACCGATGTTCTTTACATGACACGAATACAACGCGAGCGTTTTGCCACACAAGAGGAATATGATCAGGTGAGTCTTTAAGCCATTTTATTCGAATTTCATTAAACCTGTAATAAAAGATCCACCGCTTCATATATTACACATCCATTCCCTTGCATTGCACGTCTTCTGTAAGCGCAATCGATGCTCTTGATAAGTAATATGTCTAGCATTTTCTTTTAAAAGTAATCATTCTTTTATTTAAAATTATGTGTGTGGACTAAAGAGAGAGAGAGAGGGGGGGGAGATATTTAATTATTAACAATTAGAAATTATTAACATTATATATAATTAATTATTAATTATATATAAATAATAATTATAATTTTATCTAGAGTTAATCTTCATACTTTATACTATATCTACTTTTAAACTAGCTTTGTATAATATTACATTTTTACAAAATTATTATATACAACAGATGTGCGGACACTTTATTGTTACCCCGAAATCGATGTCTTGCGCAAAGGATAAAATGATGGTAATGCACCCTCTGCCACGTGTCTTTGAGATAAGTACAGAATTCGATTCAGATCCACGGGCTTATTATTTCCGACAAGCTGAAAATGGAGTCTACGTGCGCATGGCATTGTTAGCCATGGTGGTTGGAAAAAACTAACTGTCTGTCTTCTGTGGATTAAAAAACATATTAAAGAAGATTCACCTAAAGAAGATTTAAATTCAACAATTTTAATTAGACTGTGGTGCGCACGTAAAAGCCAAGAGCTAAATTCCGATATTCCACCATCGCGACAAGTGATTTAGCGATAAGATTTATAAAGAAGTTCACTAAAATCGCGTAGCGACAATTCTAACAACATATTATGTTAATTATAAATTGTAATTTTATATAAATTTTCTTTGTAAAACGACAAACTTCTTAAAATAATTTCTGTTTCTCATTTTTTATTAAATAACATATTAATACATAAATAATATTAAATAATATATAAAAATATATATATTATACACATAGTGTAATTTACAATAATTCTTACAGTAATAATTTACAAATGTATGCAAATTTTTGTATGTATGCTATAAAATAATGAAGAAAAATTTTTATATATATATTTACTGCAATAAAATTTTTAGAAAAAGTTTTATTAATAAAAGATTTAACGAAAATTATTAACTTTTAATAGATAAAATTTTAACTTATACCCTATACCTATACCATCGACTATGTAACCATGTAAATCATCGACGATATACGTAACAATAGCGTTTGGACATTGTTTACTAATTTATACAGATTCTACGTTCTACGCAGGTTTTAACCTCTCATTTTGATTATTAATTCTAATTTGAAATTTGACTACAACAACAAATGTTATGCATGCTAGATTTCAAAATTACAATTTAATTTTTACATATTTATATCTATGTTGAAGATGAACCAAAAACGATCCAAAACGTACATTTTTAATGCACATTTGTTAATAAATAATAAGTTCACGCACCAATGTACTTTTGTAATTTATTTAGATTATTATATTATATTATTATTATATTACACAAGCATTACAATCATTATATCGATACTTTTTAATTACAACAAAAATAAAAATTTCTTGACCATTGACTTTATAAGTCAATGCCACAAAAAATAAAATAAGTACATAAAATTATAACCGTATATAATTTATTTGAGCTGATACAATTTTGGTCTATCTGTCTATAACAATAAATAACAATATGTATGTCATAAATATCATTGTAACTATATGATTTTTGATAAATTTACAAAGTAACATATACTTATTGTAATGTAATAGTATAACATAATTCTATGAGATTAGATCCGAAAAAGTTTTTTTCTCTAATAAACATTAAACATATATATGCATATATGTATGTATATGTATGTGTATATAAAATCATAAATATTTTATTTTTACAGTTGATACCACATTATTAATATAATAACAAGTATCAAATATTTTTATATTACAGATAAATAATTATATGACGTTGAAAATGAAAAATTATGTGATATATATGTATACATGTATTATAACTGTCAAAATTTCAATAAATAAAGCTACTACATAAAAAATTTTCATTTTACAATTCGTTTAAGTAAAATAACTCGTTAATTTTTTTTTAACAAGAGTTAAAAAAAGCTTTTTTGGTTTTTTATACGGAAAAAAAATTTCGCTACCATAGCTAATCATGGTTTGCAAAATAAATTTATAAATTACAGCAAAACGGTTTGCTGTTGCACCTAATAGATAGGTATCGCAGCTAAGATGTTCGCTGTTGCACCTAATAAATAGGTGTCACAGCTAAGATGTTCGTTGTCCATATGTTACAACTGAAATCTAGTTACCACACCCAGTTTTTAGCTATGCCAGCTAATTTTTTTCCGTATACCTTTAAAACTGTATTTATATCTATTACGTTATCTAGTTTACTTAAGTAAATGTTTATTTGTTGCATAAAATAAGCATCCTAATTAGTTTTAACTGTAAAAAAACTATTCTGCAAATTTATATCTTAATTACGAAGTTAAATTGTATATAGTAGACACATTTGACAATAGATTCATCTCTTTGAGAATTAAATATGAATAGTATTTTAATGGCGCACACGCGTGCACTTTTGTCAAGACTTTAATACTAAATACTAACTATTTATTATTATATAATAAAATATATATTTCTCAAATCTTCCGTGAAGCCTGTATAAAATAAGGATTGTTCCGAACACATCAGACTATAGCATCCCTCACTGTAAATCCAATATCGTTAGCGTTTGGACACATATTCGAAGCTAAAGCTTTTACTTCGTCTTTTCGATTTCTTCGTGCTAATGGCGGCATTTTCAATCTCAGTTTTCTTTTTTTCATAGAATCTGTTTTCCTGTAACAAGGTTGTTTATTGTGTTGGTTGTTTATTGTATGTAGTTATTATTATTTTCTTATCCTTTTACAAACTTTAATGGCGCACATATAAATACATTATATTAACCAATTTACAATCTACTTGAATAAAAGAAAACTTTTGCGTATAATAATAAATGTAAATAATAACTTTATTATTATTTATGAAAACTGTTTGCTCAACAAAATGCAAATGTTTTGAAAATCAAAGACTAATGCAAAGATAAACGCTCATTTTTACGTACTGATGTTTACAATCTATAAAGATACCCATCGAGAATAACATCATTATAGCGATGATAATGCCGATCACAACTACCACTAATGTTATAATCGCATCCTCCTCTTGGGCAGTGAGAGATACCTCCGATGTGAACATATATGCTAAAAGAGTCATTTAAGAAAATATTTTAAATTACGTACGAGAAAGTGTCATTCGTTCTTTTACTAATGGTTATTGCGTTTTTGCCGTTCAAATTTTTTTTATCATTGACAGAGATGAATATTTCCAGCTTTATTCTTAAAAGTTCTTTATTGTTTTAATATATTTTTTATTTTAGTTACTTAAAATTTTGATATCAAGTTTATTTATTTGTATGTGGATAAAATTATATTGAAAGAATACTCAATAATTTTAGAAAGCTATTTGTCATTAAAATATGTGCCAAATAATTGTTCTTTCTTTATCTTATTTGACGATTTAAAGACTGAAAAATTAGGAATTCTTGCACGAAAGAAAGTTGATACAAAAGTTTGATTGTACTCGCTTACAATTTTCAAATCTTGTATTCATTATCGTGTAACAACTTCTTTCACTGGTTATTAACCGAATTATTTTGTTCCATAGAGAAAGGTGTTTCTATGCGCTGACATGCTACGATAATCATAAACGAGCAACTTGAGACGAGAGGCGTTTCTTTTGTATGTTGCATTCCGTATGCTTGTATTTGACACAAGCTAAAGTAATGCTGTCCTAGTCTATACGATAAGTTTTACGCGCTTGTTTGATTTTTTTACGTTATGATCTAATTATATTTTAAATGTCAGTTAAGATCTAATTATATTTAAAATGTGCTATTTTAAAAAGCAGCTAACAGGAAAATTTCGTATTTAATTACTTAATAAAATATATTGTACAGTCAGATATAAATTAGTATTAAAGCTATAATTTGAATTAAAACTACATTTAAATTTAAAATTAAAGTTATATAATATTTTACTGAAATCAGTAATTCAATTATTTTCAAACTTTGTATAAATTATAATATATATTGGTTTCATTGCTATTATATCATATACATTAAAACATGTTTAATCCGAAAATTGAATGCCAAAAGACGTAGAAAGATTTTTATGCTTAAACTTTTTTATTATATAGTAAAATATCTGATGGATATATTGTCGTTAAGCTTGCACACTCATTAATCGATTTTTATATCAATCTACTGATTATTTGGTGATCGACCCATCCACGTATGTTCACATATTGCTACAAGCGTAGTTAAATCCGCCTGATAAGCAATTTTATTTTCACAGTTTGCAACATTTAGAAAAAAACAATCATAAAAAAAATTTTCCTTATTGACGTCAATGCGATATATGTATACTCGGTTATATAGGGAGCTTCTAGAGAAAGCACGCGTTATCGATGCAATGTCGGCTTTTTATGGAGCAGTGTTTTTCCAAAAAGTCTGTGTATACGAGATTTCGTATAGTAGATTGTGCCTCTGCGGACATTTGTCTTCTTATTGAGTCATCACTTATTCGAATTAATGCGTTTGCGATCGCGTTATAATTGCTTATTGGCTCTCCCAGCTCGAATTATATTATCAACATGAGACTCGCATGATGCAATTCTGAATGTGCAATCGACAAATTTATAGATTGGAATGTTCGTAAGCATTTACGTTCTAACCTTCTTCTATTGGCAATGTGTTTGATATATCAAATGTATAATGTTAATCAAGGTTTTTGCCGAAAAATTAATTATTAAAAAATCTTAAGACCTAATATATAGTCTGATAAAATGGAGATAATCAATTAAAAATTCTAATAAAATGTTGATGATTTAAAAAATTGATAAAATAAGTCTTTTGCACATAAAAGGGAACATCAAGTATTTTACTATTTTATTTCACAAATATTATTTTGCTGTTAAGATTAATTTAATAAGATGTAATTAAAGATATTAATTTTTTAATAATATAAGTTTAAATTTCTCTTGAAAAAAGTATTCAGTTTTTTCAAGATTTTAAACATTATTAATACTATTATCTTTATTTTTTAATAATTACATTATTTATTATCGTGTACATGATTATTGCAACTCTCGCAGAATTATAGATAAAAAATCTATTGTATATTTAAAATAATATTTAAAATTTCTTTTAGTTTGGCACAAACTTTTAGATTAACACAACCACATTTATTGATAATTTATTATTAGCGTTGTATTTACAAACTCTTACTTTCTGCATTTGTAATGCATACATAATATCACACATTAAAAACTTCTCAAGTTTTATGTACAAGATAGATAGTCTATCAAATTCACAACATATTAAAAATGATAATTTAATATATTCTTATATTACATTTTTTATCATACTAGAGCATTACCTTCTGTGGTTGTAATATTTATGCTGTCATTTACGTTTGTAACGTGCATTTCCATCTTTGCGTCACTTTTTTCTCTGCTTCTTCTTCGATGTGGTTTTGATCAGAGAGAAAGAAAATTCAGGAAGCAAGTAAACGCAATTATACTTTCGGAATACTTTCAATCCTTCGCGTGTCGAGCGGATCAAGATCTCGGAGTAAACTGTCAGCCACATGCCTACGTTGTCGTATATAATATGCTTGGCGAGGCGTCAACGAGAGCGACAAAAAGGCAGAACGAATGATGTCGGAGGAATGGAGAGAAGAACGAAGGCAACGAGTATGAGAGAGAGAGAAAATGTTTGAAAAAGGAGATGGAATGCTCGTTCAAGATTCTCAAAGGGAGGCGGCAAGGCGAGTGAGCGGAAAGAGAAACCTCACGGAGGCATCATGGTGTAAGATCTGCGAGCGAACCATGCAATTCTTGATTTCATTTAACATTTCATTGTTCAGATATACATATATTGATACAACATTAAAATAACAGCGCGGTATCTAATAGCTTTTGGATAAGAAAGTCTTTGACAAAGAAAAGATAATTATATCGTTATATTTAAGAACAAATATCAAATTCCTTTTCTAAACGCGATAGGGACAAGTTGGGAAATAATTTGATATGATTAATATAATCAATAATTAATTATCTTTTGCATACGTTAAATGATATGTATAAAAATTAAGTTTTCTATGAAGCAGATTATGTGCACAGGGCTTATTTATAATTAGAATATTATAAATCTATTTCCTAAAATAATGATTACATGGATTTTTTATTGGACTTTTTAAGATAAAATATCTGTTTTTTCAGATAAAACCATTATTAATCGACTTTTTGAAACTTGAGTCAAATTTAAAGGAAGAAGAACAGTTAATTAATGCTGCAGCATATATGGGAAAGAAAACAGGAAAATGTCACAGACTTATTAAACGTAACTTACTGTACTAAGGCCGGTATTCATAGTCCGTTTTTATATTTAAGATCGTTTTAAGTGTGGTCTTGGGTCGTTTTAAAATCTCATCCAACCAATGAAATGGCCGCTTAGCATCTTAAGACCGTACTTAAGATGAGCTTGAATATAAGAACGGACTATGAATACCGGCCTACGTCTATTGCATTAAAATATGCGCTCAGTTGCAATCGTGATTGGCTCTTACTTTAAAAACCAACAAATCAACGTCGAGTGTTGACCAGACAATAACTGAGCACTTTTTCTGCCGAACGCGACTAATGTTTTATGATATTATCCTCCTTTCTCTCATTATAATTTTGTTTTTTTTCGCTAGTAGGGAGATGACGTGATGAAGTGACATGATTCCCTCGATGTTATAAATGCCACATGAAATTACATCAATTTTACTTAATTTTTATTTTGGAGAAAATAGTGACACCGTGAAGCAGTTGACAAAATAATATTCAAAATTTATTTTATTATATTAATACACATATCCTTCAAAAATCTATTTTTAATAATATTTTATCATAATTGGAATTAAAATCATCGTCACTTCGTCACAAATTTAAAAATTGTATTACCCCACATACATTTTTTTTATAGTCAATCAACGTTATTCGATAAGACATATTTTTACATCATGTCTATAATCGAAAGTATTACGATAATTGTCGATACAAATTTTTATCAGTCGTGCAAGCTACAAACGTTGATATCGAACCGACAATTTCAAGTATACATGTTCAGAATTGCGAATTCGAAGAACCGGAAAACGATTTCTTATTAAATTAATCAATTTGTATCAAAATCAGATTTCTTAAAAATCGATAGTCTAGATCGATTTGGACGATCGATTCGGAATCGAATATTTCCATCGACAAGTAAAGCTGCTCGGCATGCCAGATTCGGGACGCGCATCACGCCAAATCGTGATAGAGGGGATACACACACAATTAAAAACCGCGTATATGTCTCACATGAACACGTTTTTCTACTGTTGGGTTATTCTCTCTACCACAGTTTGGCGTGATATGCGTCCCGAATCTGGTATGCTCGGTCGTGTGGATCAAATAAATGTTACAGTATTTCTTCGTACGCTCACATAGCGTGATCAGTGATAGTTTATACGTTTATTACGATTATCTTGTGAAATTTCGTGCCTTGTTTTATCACGACGGTTTATCATTATTATTACGATGGCTACAATAGAATCTTTGCCGTACGAAATTCTTATTATGATTTTGGAGAAAATCAGCATCAAGGACATTGATAACTTTAGTTCTACGTGCAAGAAATTTAGACAAACATCATGGGGCGATAAACTTTGGATGAAAAAGCTCTATCAGAAGTATTACTTTTTTGTTTGTTTTTCGCAAATTCTTTTACAGAACGTTTTATCAAAACTCTAACAAAATATGAAATTATAGAGAGTTAATAATATAAATTTTTTTTAAGATCGGGGATATAAAAAGTTACATGATCGCCCGAATTGAAATAAAAGTGCAAAATTTATAACTTTATATTTCCAATATTTTAGCCAAGTTCTTGAAAAAGCATTCCGTTTAAAAACCTTATATCCAAAATGAAAACTTCTAACCATAATAAAATTTTGTACTTTTTGCAAAATTTTCCCTATGAAAATCTATGCATTTCGATATTTACCCCTTATACAATGACGTTGTTTGATATAATTTTCAAAAAATATGTAACATAACTTCTTTTTAAATTGTAGGTGGCCTCGTACAAGAAGAATTTGTGATAGAATAACGGGTGAAAATCTTAAAATAGATTATGAAACAGTCGTAAAATGTGTAAAAGGATTGTACAATTTAATATCCGAAATACCCAAAGATAATTTAAGCGAAACGGACAAAAAAAAATCGATGTTAAAATTTCTGGACAAAACCAAGAATGATATAATTTATAACATCATTGAAGATATGCTTGACGAAATAATGTGGCAACATCCACGGTATACAACTTAATATACTAAACTGATATTTACATGTGATACAATATTATGAATTAATATATCTAAATAATTGATGTATTAAATAATTAATATGTTAATTTGTCAGGAGAATTGGTTCCGATTTGACTCAGAAATATTACAGCTACTATATTTTTCAACAACTGAAGTATTATCATCTGAAGCACAGTATACTAAAATTTAGAAGTAGACACAGATATCATCAACTTTTGGAGGAAATGATTACTCTTCTGGTGCAATGGTTCAATATTGACACAGATAGTTCCTATCTATCTTACTCACACATAAAAACGATATTGAATGATCGTGCAGAAATGGTGTTGCAAAATCTTAGACAAAAGTATCCCTTGCATCCTATATTTGCGATGTCTGATGATTACTTCAATTCTTGGAGAAATCAGTATATGTTTTATACATATTGGGATTACGAAGAAGTAGAGCAGATTTTGATTACACTCGAAAAAAGTTTATTTAATCAATCGGCTTGGCATAGAGGACAATTAGATCTATTATGGTTAACACATGAGGATAATGAATCTTTTGTAAGTTATTATGTTATTATAATAAATTATTATGTTTCATTATTCTATGAACTGATAGCAATACTCATTGTTTTCATTGTTATTTATGGTATAGGTTTCAAGAAAACAAAAAATATACTTTCTAGCGATATATCATGCTATATTGCGAAGAGTTGGAATACACTCCGTTGTAAATTTCGAAGGCTTTAAACTTCGAATTTATCTGAAATCAAGGTAAGCATAATTTTAATTTGAGAGAGAGAGAAAGAGAGAAAGAGAGAGAAAGAGAGGAGAGAGAGAGAGAGAGAGAGCAAAAGAGAGAGCTATTCGATCTTTCTGATTTTTATTCTTATCACATACGCGTGCATATTTTTTATTTTTAGCATATCACAATTTACAATAAGTTACATAATTAATGTCCATAAGTAAAACTCGCGCGCAGCGCGCGTCTTTGTTGTTCTAGTGATATTTACAAAATATAATATCTTTAAGCATAATATGCGTGCTTCTTTTTCATATTTATCATTGGTTACGCGTATGTGTGTTTGTATGTTGCATGTATGTACATATAGTTTCTTTATATTTTCAGTCTAGAATATATTTATGCGTTTCACGACGATAATGATTTATTCAAATGTGACTTTACTATCATAAGAAGTGACGATGCCATAAGAGACTATAGAAGATATTTCGTTAATGATATAGATGTTTTGTGTATTAATGCACCCTTTCAGGTCTTACAAGTAAATAGTTTTGAAATTATTAATAACACAAAAATATGTTTTGGACAAAAATTGCTTCTATGAATGGTGGATATCTGACCACGTGATCAGTTATATAGCTTAACATTATTTTCAAGATCATTTCAAAGTCAATCCAATTTTTTAAAATGATATAGTATGAGAGACCAAAGCGCGAATACGCAGTGGCAGCGCAAATCCTGTTAACTTGCCATTTTAGAAACAACACAAAGAAAAACTACAGACTCTCTTGATCACTCTTTATTACAAATATTCAAATTGATGATCATTTCAAATATTTTACAAGTCTTTCACGAAGATTGGATCTTACCCTTGACAACATTTATTTTCAATAAATAGCAGAATATACTGAAACGACGAAAAGTTTGTACACATGAAGAAAGGGAGTGTGAATGTCAATATTTATAAGTTAAAGCACAAGTAATACGATGCAAACTCGCGCTAATTTAAAATTTAGGGGCTCGCGCTGCCACAGTGTATTCGCGCTTTGATCTCTTCTTAACTTTATGATATTAATTAAATGGTACATTATTTAGAGTTGTTGAAATTGTTTAAAAAAATGTTTGATGATGCTAACAACTAAAGTATACCACTCTGTATATGACTTCTATTAATTTAAGCAGTAGTTAATATAACCATCAATCAATTATACATCATTATAATCTTTGTAGAAAAACATATTAAACTAATATAAATTATTGTTTATGAACAATAAGAAAAAATAACAAACATTTTTTCACATTTTCTTATCGATAATTAGAATATTATAAGTCTATTTCTTAAGATAATAAATACATGTAATTTTTATTGGACTTTTTAAGATAAAATATCTGTTTTTTTCAGGTAGAATCGACATTACTTAATCTTTGGTCATCTGAGTCAAAAAAAGATTTGCAGGATACATGGAAAACAGATCAGGATGTCACTTACCCAGACATATTAAATATAAAAGTAATTTACTTATATTAAGGCCGGTATTCATAGTCCATTTTTATATTCAAGTCTTAAGTGTGGTCTTGGGTTGTTTTAAGATCTCATTCAACCAATGAAATGGCCGCTTAGCATTTTAAGATCGTACTTAAGACGATCTTAAATATAAGAACGGACTATGAATATCGGCCTATGTCTATTGCACTAAAATATAAGAATGAACACTAATTACATAATTATCTGAAATTTAAATCGATACAAAAATCAATTTAAAAGTCATTTAAAAAAAAGGCGTTAGTTAAATTCTAATGTTACATCCTTCTTTCAGTGGGAATCTAAACTATCTATGATTATAGAAAAAAGCAAACCAGATAGAAGATCGGCAGAACTAAAATTTGTAATTGGAACGATCGTATCACATAAATGTACTGACGGTACTAATAGAATTCGTCATGGGGTTATAGTTGGTTGGCACTGTTATTTCAATAGCTTACCTTTCACAATATTTAATACACCTGATATCAAATTTTGCATATATAAGAACTGTACAGATTCTACGTGTTTGATGCATAAACCATACTACATAATTTTCTGTGACAAAGACAAATACTGTTATGTACAACAAGGTATATTATCATTTGTAAAGGCTATAATATCGCATATAAAGAATCTCTAGTCAATCTCTCTCATTTGTAGCATAGTAAAATATTACATTTTCTCTTTATTTCAGAGAACGTATCGATATTTTCTTCACCATTTCTACCATTAATCGATCATGACGAGATAGGACGATATTTTTCTAAAATATTTTTCTGCGAACGTTTTTATTATGTACCGAATGATATGCTAGCAAGATATTATCCATGTGACGTCGCTATAATTAACGAAATGATGCATAATAAATAGTTTATGTTACAATAGAAGGTTTAGGATATATATGCGAATACTTCAAACATTTTTATGCAAAAATTACAAATATTATAATATGATAAAAATATTCTGTATAGAAATATTTATATTGCTTTTATATACAAATACTTATTTGATTTTTCTTATTTTCTTTTATTTGGATGTGTGTATTAAGATAGATAAAGCTTAATTTAATTTTTGTGTTTATTATATAAAATAAGGTCACACTTCTCATTTTCTTTTAATAACATTGAATCGTAAATAGGAAACTTTATAAATATTGTTCAATGTCAAATTTTATAAGACAAGTACAGAAATGTGCAAAGTGTTGCTGAATTGGAGAGTCTTGCGTTTAATCGAAAAATAAAGAAAAGGAAGTTGTATAAAAACTCAAATATTTACACAAACATATATTTGTTATGAAGCGTTCATAAATGTTTTATGAAATTACCCTTCTTTTTCTCATTATAATTTAATTTTTTTTCACTAATAGGAAGATGACGTGATGAAGTGACATGATTCCCTCGATGTCAAAAATGCCACATGAAATTACATCAATTTTACTTAATTTTTATTTTGGAGAAGATAGTGATACCGTGAAGCAGTTGACAAAATAATATTCAGAATTTATTTTATTAAATAGAAATATTTATATTGCTTTTATATACAAATACTTATTTGATTTTTCTTATTTTCTTTTATTTGGATGTGTGTATTAAGATAGATAAAGCTTAATTTAATTTTTGTGTTTATTATATAAAATAAGGTCACACTTCTTCTTTTAATAACATTGAATCGTAAATAGTAAATTTTATAAATATTGTTTAATGTCAGATTTTATAAGACAAGTACAGAAATGTGCAAAGTATTGCTGAATTGGAGAGTCTTGCGTTTAATCGAAAAATAAATAAAAGAAAGTTGTATAAAGATTCAAATATTTACACAAGAAACATATATTTGTTATAAAACGTTCATTAATGTTTTATGATATTACCCTCCTTTTTCTCATTATAATTTAATTTTTTTTTCACTGATAGGATGATGATGTGATGAAGTGACATGATTCCCTCGATGTTAAAAATGCCACATGAAACTACATCAATTTTACTTAATTTTTATTTTGGAGAAAATAGTGATACCGTGAAGCAGTTGACAAAATAATATTCAGAATTTATTTTATTAAATTACATTTTTATTAAATTAATACACATTTTCTTCGAAAATCTATGTTTAATAATATTTTATCATAATTAGAATTAAAATCATCGTCATTTCGCCACAATTTAAAAAATTTTATC